GCAGCCAGTGAACACCCGCCAGGTCCCGACATTCAGCAGGCAGCCAAGAAGGAAGAGGATCAGGGCTGGCACCAGCAGGAAGACGGAGCCATAATACATGTTCCAGGAGTTGCAGGGGCATTGAAACACCACGACTGAGAAGAGACGCTCACTTGCAGCAGTCAGTAGGGACACAGCGCTGTAACCAATCACCTTCTGGTGACTGAGGCAGAAATCCAACACGGTGCGAAACTTCTCCATCTCCTGCCCCTGAGGCAGCACTGGGCCAGCTCCCTTAACTTTGAGGGGAATGAAACCTCACTTGGTTATGTGTACAAGAGGAAGAGGATGTGAGTTCTCTAGTTTTCACAATCTTCACACACCAATAGAAAGGTTTCACTTTCTCCTGAACTAGCCAAAGTGGTGTAATGTAGGCCAAGTTGTCTGAAAGTACCAAGCATTTTCTCTGTATTTTTAACATGACAGGAAACAAAAAGTCAAGTGACTTGAATGCAGGTTGGAGAATACATGAAGCCCAGACTGCTATTGTTTTTTCCTCATGCAATCATCACTTATCACTGACTGATTAGTAGAGGTGGATTCAATTTCCCCTCTCAAAACTGGATGTTTTCGGGAAGGCTTTTGTCAAAAATTCAAATTTCAAAGTAAGGGGGAGTAAAACAGAAACAAAAACATCATGATTTTTTCTTTAACTTTTTGACCAGCTCTAGTTATAGAACACTGGTCTGGTCTCTAGTTAGGTGGTGCCAAACTGTATCATAACTAACCTCAGAGTATGCTTTAGATTGTTCAGAGCTCTGAATTGAAGCGATGCCCCTTTTTGGACCTACCAGTCAAAATTCAGGGCCCTGGTACTGTTCCAGTTGGTGGACAGGCCAATTCTCACCTAGAATCAACCCCCTAACCTGAAACAAATTCTTTCCAGCAACCACACAGCACACCTCTATCATACTCATCCAGGAACCCACACCTGCAGTAAACTCTGGTGCCAACTCTGTCCACACTTCTATACAAGCGACATCATCATAGCAGAGGCTCATACAATTGCACATCCACCAATGTGATCTACGCCATCAAGTTCCAGCAATGCCCCTCTGCCATGTATATTGGTCAAACTGGACAGTGTCTGTAATGAAGGATTAATGGACACAAATCAGATATTCAAAATAGCAACACACAGAAACCTGTTGCGGAACATTTTAACTTGTCCAGACACTCACTAATGGATCTAAAAGTGACTATACTCTTACAAAGCAATTTTAAAAAACCAGCTGGAGAGAGAAACTGTGGAACTTGCCTTCATATGCAAATTTGACACATTTAGCCAAAGTTTGAACAAATACATGAACTGGATGGACTGCTATATTCAACACTCAAATGACATCAAAAGCTAAGTATCAGGCACCTACAGCCCACTCTATTAGCCTCATTTAGCACAGACACTCTAAGGGTACGTCTACACAGAAGTGCTATTTCGGAATAACTGCTGTTATTTTGAAATAATATAGCACATGTCTACACAGTCAGCCTTTATTTTAAAATAATGGAAAGCTGGAGGACTTCTTACTCTGACTTACTTATTTTATGAGGAGTAAGGGAAGTCGAAGGAAAAGTGTCCTTTCTTCGACTTCCTGCTGCAAACAGCTCCAAAAGCTGAATTAAGCTATCTTGACTTCAGATACTCAATTGACATCACTCAATTTGCATAGCTCAATTCGACTTTAGCCCAGCTGTGTGTTGTGTGGTTTGGCTTTTGGATACAAGAGGAGCCAATAAAAACACCTCAGATAGACTCTTGTTAACTTTATTATGTATAGAATAGTAAAGAAAGCAATGCAAGGTTACATAGATCTATTTCAATACGCAGGATAGTTAGAACAGACAATAATATAACACAAGATACTTATTTTTAAGGATAGGGATATACATGTACTTATCTCTAGAAATCACACACAGTTCCACCGCTAAGACCTTTTCAGATGACTGTCAGACGGGAGGTCATGGCGTCGTAGTTTCCCCCTGTGCAGAGGCGTCCACAATGCATCGATTGGTAGGAACAGGCACTGCTTCTAGTTGCAGCGAGTGAGGTAGTGGGGACCCCTTACCCAATCCCTCCCACCGATTATCTTTTCTATACCTACTTTCATAGCAAAGCGAGACTTGGCCATTCTAGTAAAATCTACCAATTGATTACATATTGTAGATGCCCATATTTGAGATACATCCTGCTATTCAAACTACACTATACTTGATTGATAGTTCTATGGCTGCATCTGTGATTTTCACTTATTAGAAATGTTATGTACCAATACCAGGTTTCTCCCAATGTTCTTGGTTTCACTATACCAATACTCCCTACACACTATTGCTTAAGGCACTCCTACCACTCAAAGATAACCGTCCCCCAGCCTGGCCTATATGCCTATTGCTCTAGGCTTGTCTCAGGCCTGGGTTTGCTTTGTTAGAAGACGCAATTTGGTCAAGTCAGTCCAGTTAAGGCAGGGCCAGACAATGCATACATTATTATTCTGGTCAATACGGGGTTGTCCAGGCTCCCGTACACTGTTTAGATGTACTCTAAGGGTATGTCTAGACTACATGGCTCCATTGACAGAGCCACGTAGATGAATTTACTAGACATAGGAAAATGAAGTGGCGATTTAAATAATCCCCGCTTCATTTACATCAAAATGGCCGCCGTGCTGTGCCGATCAGCTGTTTGGCGGCATAGCGCAGTAGTCTGGACACGCTGCAGTCAACAAGGGAAGCCTTTGTCAACCGCTCCGTTATGCCTCGTGGAATGAGGTTTACCAGGGTGGCCGACAAAGGCTTCCGTTGTCAACCGCGACGCATTCAGACTACCGTGCTGTGCTGCCAAACAGCTGATCGGCACATCACAGCGGCCATTTTGATGTACATGAAGCAGGGATTATTTAAATCACCGCTTCATTTTCCTATGGCTAGTAAACTCATCTACATGGCTCCGTCAATGGAGCCATGTAGTCTAGACATACACTAATTGACATGATTTTCTTCCCCTTTCCCTCCCCATCTCTCCTCTTTCTCTGCTATTTATTTGTATCTCTGGACCTCTTACTCACTCATCTGAAGAAGTCAGTTGTGCCCACAAAAGCTCATCACACCATCTATATTTTTATTAGCTCTCTAAGGTGCTGCAGGTCCATTTGTTATTTTTTAAGTTTTTTTTTTCAGTTACAGACTAACACAGCTACCCATCTGAGACTGGTAGTAGCCAAATATTTCTTTGATGCTGTTTTGCAAAGGATACCCTAAGACCTGTGTCTCTTAGGGATCAGAACAAAAGGAGCATTTTTTTTAAACTTACAACTCCCAGCCTCTTTAGCAACCACCAGACCCAAAAGATCTCTCACCAGTTTTTCCAGGGTTATATCTTGTGCTCACAGGACACTGCTTGGCTTTCTTGCTTTCTGCCTGTGCTTCACTCTCTTATTATGTGTGTTCTGCTTCTCTACCCACCCACACCCACCTCACACACAAAGCTCAGTAAAACCCCTCCACCCACTCAGCCCAAACTCCTGGGAACGCCCAAAACTCATTTGTGTCTTAGGTCCGCATTCACTCATCCAACAGTTATGATACACGAAGCATAATTTACATTCCTAATATATGCTGTAGAGGGCCCTAGTATATGTTTTTTATTAAAAAAATATTAACAAAATTGTTAGAATTTATGTTCTGATTGAGCAATCACATATTACATTCAATGACTTCTATTAGGATTAGCTATGATTGCCCTATTACTACTCAGAGAAGTGAGCTAATGCACAGCAGTAATTTTTGCAGAATTGCAGCTGCAGTTTGGCCCTGGGCTGGCCTTAGCAGGTTATAATATAGTTTTATAACAATGAAGTTTGCCAACTGCTGTGCACTGTGGTTATAGTATCCCCAAGTGCTCTGAATTCTGTGTAGCTTGCTGGGTTTGTTATGAATTTCTGCTTCTCTGCCCAGAATGACAAAGATTCTGTATTTTGTTCTCTGCCCTCCATTTTTGTCTCCTTATCCCCTCCCATGAAACAGCAGCCCGGAGCCTCTGCTGGAGGAAGCTGAGCATCCCTTGTTTTGGGAAGGGTGGAGAGGGGAGCCACAAATGGAACAAGCCCCCGATTATTTTTACTGCTATGTTACCTCCGGGTGGAGCAGGGAGCTGAGCAAAGCAGGAGCAGCAGCTGTGCCAGAGCTGCAGTCAACTCAGCCAAAAGCCTGACCCCCAGGATTGCCCAAACTTGTGGTTTCTTTTGCAACTCCAGCTGCTGTGGTACTCCATAGCGGAAGCCCCATCTCCCAACTTCCTGCCCCACAAAAGGACTGGCGGGGGAGTTGAGGGGGAGGCAGAGCAGGTCAAGTGGGGTGTGATGAAAGAAAAATTACTTTGCAGAGTGGAGAACTAAGGGAGAAATGTGGGTGGGATTCCTAAGATTTGAAGAGAGGATAGTTCATATGAAGATGTGTCTGTGGGCTCGCAACCCCACTAAAACAGTGTTACCCTTTCCCTAGAAGAGATCATGCCTCTTGACAGCCTACGCATCAAATGAGATTTAGAGGCAGAAGCCCTGGCTGCATTGTCCTTGTTCTGGATCTTTGGCACACATTTGGGATACTCCAATTCTGTGCTGTTTTGTGCAAGAAATGAGGCAATATGCAAATGAGGCAAAGCATGGAATATCGCTGCTCCTCATTTGTAAAAATAATGAGCAGCCGCTTTTTGTGCAAAAGGCTTTTGCACAAAAAGGAGCAAGGTAGATAGCTCCTTTTTTTGGCAAAAGCCTCTTCTGCAAAAACAGAGCCTCCTTAATTATACAAATGAGGTGCGGTGATAGTCCACGCTTCGCTTCATTTGCAATTTTTTTGCGTAATAGTGGGAAATGTAGACATAGCCTATGGGTGTAGAGGAAACTAATCTGACTTCTTATGAACTCAGCATAACATATGACTATCAAAATTTTTGGCCATGCCACTCAGCTTCCCCAAGATCTTCATTATACAAGATACAGTAGAACCATGACCCAAAGGTTGCTATATTGACAATCATTTGCCTATAATGGTAAGATCAAATTTAGCACCATCTCCCATGACTTTGAAGTTCTTTTCATCAGCAGTGTGACACTGTGCCATTCACCTCCTAAATGTTGGTCTTTATGCTGAAATAATTACACTCACATGGGACATTCAAAAACTTCGCACCCCGTTATTTGTCTTGTGCTGATGCATGAAGTGGTCTCACACTTT